TGTGAAAAGTTAATACATATAAAAAATAGATTGATGGGAAAAATATATATGTGAAAAGTTAATACACATAAATAATAGATTGATGGAAAAAAAATATACCAAAACATAAAATGCAAAAATTATAATGAAAACACAAATTGCAAAAATACAAAAATACAATAATTACAAAGCGGAAAATGGTAAATTAACCCACTCGTACCCTCTGACAGGCTTTTCAAGGGAAAAATGACTGATTGTACGAGCTAGGCTAAATACCATTACGCGTTTCGCCGAAACAGACCATTGAAGCTCTTGTTTGATGCGAAAAATTTTTTATAAAACATGAAAAGTCCCGAATAAATCTTTTTTGGAGCTTCACTGCTCTGTTCCTTTTTCCCGACGCGTCCGCTGAAAAACACATTAGGGTGTTAAGAATGTAATTGCAACTCCGAGCAATGTAATATTAAAATCAAAATAAAATAAATAGCGGTCTGCTATTAGTCAAAAAATTACAACGTACGGGCTGGTCCTGCACAGCTTAGAGAAGGTAGAACTTTTATAAAGAGAATGGTGCTGTAGTCAAATTAAAATGCAATTAAATTTGCAAGAAAACAAACGTCGTTGGGTCTTATTAGGACCAAAAAAACACAGACAAAAGAAACGAAAAAACTGACCTGTGAGGTGCCATCCTGAGCATCGCGAAAAAATTTGAAAAGGGTGCAAATCCCCTCCGTATCCTACCAACCTTCCTTCTCGTCGTGTGACGTATGTGGGAGTAACAATTAAAACTGCAGAGGCCAATGGGCTGAGATTGTAGTTTTGGTGGGAATTCCTGTTTACCCCTTTTTTTAGAGAGGGTGTGACAGACGTGAAAAGACACGAAAAGAACTCAAAATGGCGTCAGTCAAGTTGTTAGAAGAACAAAACTGCTACAAATAAGTGAAAATGGCTAATTCAGCTAAAATTACTTATTTTTGGCCACAAAAGAAAGAGTAAATTGGAAAAAAGTCATTTGTTAATAAAAGTCGTCATTCCTCAAGCTATATATATATATACATATATACAAATGCGTAATACTATGCCTTCGCTTAGAATCAATTGTAGTCTCGCAAAACAAACCTCGCTTTTTTATATAAATTTTCTGACTACACTATTTTTTTTTTTTTTTTTTTTTGACAGACATGTGGCCCGCGGATATTCGTGAATTTATTGATGTGGCCTCGGGCGTGAAAGGTTGAAGACCCCTACATTAAAATAAGCTCCTAGAGCTTGGAATTCGAAAAATATTTCTAAACATATCATTTATACAAAGAAAAGCAGACTCATGCTTATTTTAAAAAAAAAAAAAAAAAAAAAAAAAAAAAAAAACAGAAATTCACATATCTAATATTTATTATATATAGATACTTACAGGAAATGAAAGCAAAGAGAATGCAATGAAAATAATCCAACTAATAAAAGCAAAACTGGAAGTAAAAGACCTAGGAGAATCATAAACACAGAACGATCTAAAGATGGAAACTTTGCCATAAACCAACAGAATAAAATCGAACACATAGTTCAAAGATTCAGATTTCAAGATAAAAAACCAATGTATACTCCAATGCAAACAAACTACTGCAAATCTCAAAATGAAGATAATACAGAATATAGGCAAGCAGTTGGTGCATTACTATACATTGCAACAAACAGTCGACCAGATATAGCAGGTGTCATCAATCTACTGAGCAGAAGAAAAGAAAAACCTCGAAAAATAGACTGAAATGCTGTCAAGAAAGTCATTCGAGACTTAAATACATCTAAAGACTTGAAGAAGGTCTTTAACAAAATTGAAGAACCTGTACTAAATGCATGTTCAGACACACATTGAGGAAATCACAGAATAACTAGAAAATCCATTAGCAGATATATATTCAAACCAGGAAACAATAATTGCATTTCATGGAGCAGGAAAAGCAAAATTGCACTGCATTACCTTCAACAAAAGCAAAGTATATTGCAGCAGCTATTAAAGCTCAAGAGGCACAATCGTTGTTAAATTTACTTGAACATTTTGAATATTTAGACCTAGAACAAAATCTAGAACAAAATCCATCAATTACTCAATATGACAATAAGTCATGCATCAAACTTTCACAGTCAGAAAAAAACAGTTCCAGAACAAAACATGCATACGTCAAATACCACTACTTGTGTGAAGTTCAACAAGATGGTATCTTAAGCCTAGACTACTGCAGAAGCTCCGACATGATAGCAAACCTGCTCATCAAACTGGTAGGAAAACCTGTGTTCGAGAGACTTCGAGAATTGCTGCAGATAGTGATCCGGTCCTGATCAAGTAAGGGTTTTTGTATACAGTGATGGACATTATCAATCACTAATAGGATGATAAACATTTTATTCTATGTGTGCTCTAATAAAGGAACCGTGTGACTCACACTTTGCTCCTTCATGCCAATATGAAAGGACAGTATAAAACTCTCTCTCTCTCATAATAACTCTCCACTAAACACTTTATATATATTATGAGAAATTTAATTATTCTTAATCCATGTTAAACATATGTTAATGTATTAAATGCATGTATTTTGTTTACCATTCCGTGTACAATCTCCTTTTGGATTACTCAAGACTATGACGATACTCAACACTATCGAGAATGCAAGGTAAGAAAAAGTGCTTCTTTTCCTTTTTTTTTAAATTTGTTGTATAAATATTTACAACATATTTTGCATAAAAATTACACATCATCATAAAGATAATCAAAAAACAGAACTGGCCATGAATTCAAATAAAAAAATAATTCATTCACTGCAAAGAAAATATTTTGCATTAAGGAAAACTGCTGGAGGAGATAATTCCTGTCCATTATATTTTGAGCCATCACTTTCATTTGATATTAAAAGAATTAAAAAATTGGATATTTTCATAAAATATGCATTTATTTTTAGTATCTGGAATTTCAGATAGGGTTTGTCAGTCTTAACTTCAGCGAAAAATTTCGTTACTCAGTTTTGTAATAATATCATTAAAAAAATTATTGTTCTTTATCTCTTAGCTGTACTTCGAAATCATATCCATGAGGTTTAGGTCATTAAGGCATTAATGTACAGCATGACACAAGGGTATAGCAAAATTGTTAACTTTCTATGGAAAAAAATCTATTAGGTATAATTGAGAGTAAGGAAATATGCATAATTTAAACAAACCTAAATATTATTGTAATTAAACAGAAATAATAATAAATATTAATTGAAAGGGTTTTTATTCATTTATTGTCATTTTATTATTTATTTATTGTTGCCTAACTGTAATGCTGTTTATTCTAGTACTTTTCATTCATTGATATGCAAATGATGGTCTTGTTTTTGGGGTGAAATTACTCTGCATAATTACAATGGCTTTTAGCATATATAAAAGCATATTAATGTTCATAAAATGAAATTGCTTAATAAGAACATGATACAATAATTTTTTTCTTAAAAGCTAGTGATTTTTGCTTGGGATAATGACTGACACAACTCTCTGAGGAACACAGAGTTTTTCGTTGTCTCTCATAAAGTTGTCTTCTTTCTCCATTTACGCCAATCTCCATTGCAAAATCAAACAGTTCCTGAGCTTTTCTAATTTTTTTTTTTTTTTTTTGTTTAAATTTTTGTAAGTTGCAGACAATTTATTTTCATCTTCACTATCACTGTTTTCATTCTCGACTGGTATTATAAGATCATCCAGTTCTTCTCTTGTCTTTCTTGATTAATTCTTTGACTTCATCCAAATCTGACAATCCTCGCCACCAACTGGTTTTGCAATTTGAATGGTTTCTTTGGTATCATTTTTAATTTATCGACATCTTTTAAAATTGTTCTTAAATTCTGGCCACAGCAGCATTTGATAAATTAAATAGAAACAATTGAGATAACATATATATGAGAAATTGCATTTTACAAATTCACATATGGTAAGGATTTACTGTAATTAGAAATACAGTCAAAAGTCGTTAATTCGGACCTCAAAGCTAAAAACTTTCTGCGCATGTGCCGCGTTGATACATGCGCATAGGCGTTTACGCATGTGCGTAAGACCTTTACAATTGCGCATATGCGTGTGCGGAAGCGCAGAATAAGTTTTCACGTGCACGTTTAATGCATAACGGATGGTATAAGCTAAAATTATCTAATTCAACGGACGGTATAAGTTAAAATTATCTAATTCAGTTAATGTTGATGATTGTGTTGTTCCTTAATCTTCGAATTGGATCCGGATTATTATTTTTTGCAGACTGTAAGAGCAGTTTTATGAAAAGTAAGCTTGAACTTTCGCTTATGTCAATAAAGAGTTTCCTATTCTGGAGCTGTCAAAGGATCTACAAAGCGAAAGCATGTTGCGATGTCCATCAAACAAAAAGTGGAAATTGGCTGCAAAAAGTGGATAAAGATAAAGCCTGAAGAAAGTGACAGCAGAGGTTTGTGAAAACGAAAAAATTTCAATTGACAAATTAGTCGGTATTCTCGGCTGCTGCAATTACAGGACTTGAACAGCGGAACTTGCAACTGAACAAGAAATTACGTCTGTTTATAGAATTAAAGAGAAAGTATTATCACATAAAGCGAAGCAACTTAAAAAACTTACATTGAAAGAAATGTTTAACAAAGTAAACAAATAAATATTAAGCTTTTTTTTTTTTTTTTTTTTTTTTTTTTTTGTAAATTTTGATACCCTTTAGATCATAATTGTTCTTTATTTCATAAATTACGGTTTCATATTTTTAATTTTAGAATTCCTGCATGCCATCTTAAGAGATTTAAACTGATGATCTATAATCCGGAAAAATCGATAATCCGGAATCGCCGAAGTCCCGACGAGTCCGGATTAATGACTTTTGACTGTATACTGGCTAGAAATAAAAATTATTATTAATTTATACAATGACTAAAAATCCATTTGTGCTGTCTGGCCATTGAAGAAAAAGAGGAAAAATTCATTAAATGCTTTTAAGAATACATCTAAAATAATATGCTAACCTTTTCAATATCGCTAGCTTCATAAATCTCAGCTATTGACATCAGATGCTTTGCAGCAATAGTGAAACGTCCCTAAAATAATGCATACATGTTAATGGACACAATAGTAATATCTTATCCCAAAACAAAAAAATTATACATATAAAAACGAAAAAAGTATTTCACACTATTTTATTACAAAGAGCCTTCTTCACATTTTGCTCTTTAGTAAAAACAGGTATAAACATGGCATACAAAAAAAAAAACCAGAAGTATATAGATATAACAATATTTTAATTGGTATAGTGCATTTATATCCCTTCAGAATAATGAGTAAATGTTCCTGTTTTATAACAAACAATAAACAAATTAAAATTTTCACAGACAATAATTTTTAATCCTTGTTGATGAAACTACAAAATTCAATAGCAAACGCATCAATAATATGTACCTATCCTCACACATTACTAAATATTGGGTTTTAATGAAAGTTTTCCACCACTGCAAATATCATCTGCACAAAAAGTTCACGCTGGCATGTTTAATCATATTTTGTGAAACGATTTTTGGCATTTGAAAGAAACAGACTTGCTTTAGGACACTGTGCTGTGAAAATTGTAAAAAAAATATCATTATCATTAAATACAAGGTATCTGAAATGGAACTATCACAATACCAGATTACAACCATCATTTACTACCACTTCTGTTGCAAAACGTTAGCTACAGAATGTCAACAAATCATGTGTACAACTTTAGATACTAATGTTGTATCATATGACACTTTGAAGGTTTGGTTTCGAACGTTCAGAAACAAGGACTACGACATTCAAGAAGCAGAGTGTTCTGGCCGCCCTACTAATGTTGATGATGCCCGCCTGCAAGAACGTGTTAAAGAAGATCAGTATGCAATCACTCGAGAGATTGCTAAGGAGTTAGATGTCAGCAACATGTCCATTAGTCGTGCTATGCACTGCATAAACGTGACGTAGAAGTTCAACTGCTGGGGGCCGCATGAGGTCAAGGAGATAAGGGCAGACATGTTCAGGCCTGCACTAATCTGCTCGAATATCAATGCAAGGCCAAAATTCTGGACTGGATTGTGACATGTGATGAAAGTGCTACACAAGTAACCGGATCATCACTAGTGGATTTATTTCAACTACACAGGCTGAAAAGGGGGTTGGTGTAGGGCCAGTGAGCTCATTGCAGCATCGCAAAGTGCAATTTCACTATGATCATGGGTAAAAGTATATTTACAGGTACCCCTTGGCGATTTTTGCCAGTACATGGATACCGAGTTTGTGCAATTCTTTGTCTTGTTATTTTGGCTTTGCATAGCGGTGATTTTTGAGCCAAAAATGCCACTACACAACAAAGCCAAAATAAGATCAAGATCAAGCGAGATCACATTTGCCAAATTAGCACTTGAAAACAAAAAATAAGAAATGGGCACTTAGGTTCCCACTGGATTCCAGGCCCTGTTGCTTCAGTAACCCTTCCACCTTAGTCATCTTGAATGCTTTTGAAGAGAAAATATCATTATGATAAACAGCCTTAGCTGAATGGTACTGGCTGTTTTCCTTAGCCTTCTTTCCTGCTATTCGTTTTACAACATTTTTTAATTTACCAGGTGATACCTTGTTGAAACGAGCACATTCATTTTATCTTTTCTTCAGGCTCAGTCTCCAGATTCAAATTATTTATAACTTGTAGCATAGAGGAAAGTAATACGATACAATCATATTAATCATTATCAATTTTATACAATGACACAGAAAATCTGGCATTTATCCACTAATTTCAAAATAAAATGAGACAACATTTAAACTATTTTAAAATATGTCATAAAGCTGAATTGAAAAATGAAATGTATGCAAGGGAGTGTTGCATAAGTGATGATGAGAGACGACACTAGAATACTAAGATTACATAGCAAGCTCAAAGTGAAACTTATCAGCAAAATCCTACTTCTAAAAGACTTTTGATTCTAATTTAGATACTTATGTGAACCCTTTAACTGAAATTAAAATCCCTCTCTGAAATGAAAGCTATGACGTATCAAATTTTCTAAACGAAATAACTGATGAACAAAAACTTGAATTTCAAGAAAATACTTAGCTCCCAATAAAAGCTTCCAAGCTGTCCATTCGATAATGAAAGCATAAATAGAAAATTTACCAATTAAATATCTATTACTGTTTAAATACCCTTGGCCGACTTATAAAATTAATGATTAAGTACATTGTAAATATAGTATAATATTAACCAAGGGGTATGTGAGCCAATCAAACAACCAAGTTTTAGGTCAATTAGTAAACTATATGTTTAGCAACTGAAAGCATTATAACAAAAATTCTGTGCCACCAAGAGAAAAATAACAAAAGCATTCCTTTGCCTGCTGATACATTAAAAAATATCATTCTTGGTGACAAACAATCCATAGTTCATGGAGCTGATATGTCCAGTGCTCATCAAGGTTAAAAAAAAATGAAAAAAGCTTATTTATATAATAAAAAGAATGATCTTCTGTGAGAGAAATGGATTTCCACTAAGAGATCTTTATAATTCTGGGCAAATTAATGTAAATGATGACACTGCTGAATCTCATCAAAATAAAGGAAACTTTTGCCAACTCCTTGGACTTTGAACAGACATAGAAGATGATGTATAAAACTTATTTGGTATCCTGCAGTAATAATATAACACGGATTTCACCAAAATACACAATGAAATTGTAAATGCTTACAATAAAATTATTTGGGAAAAGAACTGAAAAAGTGAATAAAAGCAAATGCTTTTCAATTATAGCTCATGAAACTACATACCTTTCTTCTGAAACAAATTAAATACTGAATTCTGAAACAAATAAATGAAAAGTAATTTGGCATTTCTCTTTGATTGGCAAATAAAATTATCTTTAATTCACTTCCACTTTCTTTTCCCCATGCGAAAGGAAATCTATGAGGAAGTATTGTATTTAAATAACCTGATATAATTGCAGATACATGATTTTTAGATTGAATTTAATTTTTACACGGCAAAATTATGAAGAACAAAAATTGCACAATGGTCATTTTGACATTATGATGGTGATTGCAGCCTCCAAAATTAAATTCTAAATACATCTCTGCACTGAACACTGGTAGTTCGGTCCAGGGTTCAAATCCCAGCAAATGGGTTGCCTGCAAGGGCATTTTCGTAATGTTCCCCATGTGTAACATGGATACAAGGCAATTTACCTTAAAAGTCCTCCAAAGCCATCCCTCTCTTTGGCAGATACAATTGTGTACATTGCCATGATCAAATTAATAAAAAAATAAATATAACTCCTGTTTATATTATCTATAATAAAGCAAAGATTTTGTCTTTTATATAATATGAAATTAAGTAAATTTCCTTTTTAGTTATTATCTGTTATTCATCTATATCTATAAATTCACGGGCAAATTTTTACTACACATAATTAGATGTTAAAGTGTTATATCTATTAATAAGAAAATAATACAAAATATGTCATTACCTAAAATTTTCTTAATTGTGAAAATGTATTTGCAATGAAATTAGTCTATTTTATAAGAAAAAAGAAACTTATATAGTATAAGTAACATAAGGCAATCAGTAGAACTGAAAAGAGTGAAAATAATCTTACCATATCTGTGTAGAGTTCAACAGCTTTCATAAGACAACTAACAGCCTCTACAAAATATAATATACTGTTAAAAGTAAAAAATGAAAGTATCCTACTTTAAAGTACTATTTTAAAATCTATGAAAATACATAAAGATAAAAATGAGAATCAAACCACTTAATGCTTAAAATGAGACATTTCACAGAATATAAATTTATAAGAAGTTTCCTCCTCAAAACACTTATTCTAAGATAAATATTTTAAATGAAAGCAGAAGAGAAACAGGCCAAGTGAAACACAAAATTAGTGATACAACAACCTTGACTATGGTGTAGATTTAAGTCAAGATCTCAATCAATTCCAAGAGAAAACAGGTACAGGTCCCTCTTCATCAGGAGCAAAGAAATCTGCAATCAAATCTGATCTTGACTTAAATCTATGCCAAACTCAAGGTTGTTGTGATAGTAATTTATAAATATTTTAATTAAAGTGTGTTTTACACTTTTATATCCCATTAAAATTATTCTACATGATAAATACTTTACCTCTCCAATTAAACTATACATTTCACAAAGTTACTTATATTTTTGACAGAAAGCAGTTCACTTTAGAAAGATTTTTATTCTTGTTAGACTTAAAAATTTTCATACTGTTCTGTTCTTGGAACTGAAGTTGTCAGAAAATGTTCTGCTAAACACACCAAGAGATTGGTTCATAAGAAGTCACATATGTTTACTTTTTTAAAAAATATAAAAGAATGCCTTTCTAAAATTAGCAATATGAGAATACAAATTCTAAAGATGTAATGGTCACTTGTGTTTTTATTATTATTGCATTAACTATGGATATGAAAATCTGGGACTTGTCTAATGATAAAACATCTTCCATACAATTTCTTCAGGAACAAAGAATTATCCCCTTTATGGTTTTCATCCAAAAGTGCATGAAAACCATAAAATGAAGCTCTACTTCAGTTCGAAGGAAGCACCAAAATGGAAACAAGAAGATATGATATGCTGAGGGGGAAAAAAAAGGGGGGGATTGATTATGTTTTTAAAATTAGTTTGAAAGATCGGAAATCAATTTCTAAACAGCAATTCGTTTCATTTATGCATGGTGTTTACAATTAACTTCCCTCGAATTTTGTCAATATCAACTTGATATGAATAGTTGCACTGTTGTTGATTGAAGCAGTTAGATATGGGAAGTGTGTGGCCATGCATTAATGTCTAGACTTACAGTTCAAATAGTCGGCGCTGGTAATATTGTTGAAGTTGATAAAAGTCTGTTTTTGTATTGAAAAAATATTGGTCATATCATTCCACTTCAGTGGGTATGCAGCAGGATTAGCTGAGAAACAAAAGAATTTTTTTAGTTGTTGTGCCTAACTGTTATGAAAGAATTTCACTTTAAGTTATTGAAGAAAATATTGATAGCAATATGATATACTCTGTTGGAGAGGATATACAACTGAAGAATTAATTAAGACAGGAATTGGCTTAGAACATTTCTGCATTAACTATAAATATAATTTTATCAATCCTGATATTAGTTGTCATAAGCAAATTACTGAAAGGCAGTGCGAAATGGCAAAATAAAAATAAGCACAGCACTGACCATAACCAGTTAGATTCTTATTTAACTGAGTTTATGTGGCAGCAAAAGCATTCTAAAATGTTAATATTTTCAGGCATTTTAAAATACCAGAAGTACAACTTTTTAAGTTGATTTGAATAACTATTAGTGGCAACAACACATTTTAATATAGTCTTAAAAAATGAAAAAAATGCTCTATAAGTTACATGATTGTAGCATTTTTTTAAGCAGCAAAGAAATGTCAAAAGTCCACGATATGGCTGACAAAAATGGACACTTTTCTTTTGCTGCCAGTAGCAGTGAAAAGTAAATGTGAACCATTTTAATTCCCCCCTCCTCTCCACAAAGGTATTTTCTAGGCAATCACCAGCACTGGTACTGACTACCAAAATTAAAGAACAAATAACAGCAGGACCAGTTACAAAATAATGCAATTTTTTCCCTCTTCATATGAAATCATTGTTTTGATGGAGCTTCCATGATCCAGCGACTGCTGGACGGATGCAGGCGACTCGTTTTCGAAGTCTGAGGTGGTCAGAGTTTAAAAGATTTCGCACTTTTGCCAAGTATTCATCACTTTTTACGGTTGGAGGGCGTCTTGACCATTGCTCATTTTCAACTTGCTCTCATCCCTCTTGAAACAATTTGTGTCACTTAAAAGCATTTGATTGACCCATGACATCACTCCCATATGCAGTCTTGATCAGGTCATGAGTTTCACTTGCAGTTTTAACCAGTCTGATGCAATACTTCACCGTGTAACGCTGCTCTAAAAAACAGTTAATTGTGGAGACAACAAGGCTCATTGAAAAGGGTTCATCTTAAACCGTGAAGGCCTGGAGATTACTGGCAACTGGTGCGCTGGTAGCTATGACCCCCCAAACCCAACCAGCACAGTAGCATCCCCCTACTTCAACATGGTGTGGCAGGAAAAAATCAATCCTACTACTTCCCGGACAAACCCTGTATGTATGTATGCATATGTGTATACACATATGTATACATATAGTATCTGTGTATACACACATACAAGGGTTGGACAAAAATATGGAAACACCTTTAAAAAAATATGTTTCTTTGCTTAATATGGTGTAGGAAACCCGTTGGCATCCAAAACAGCTTGCAGTCTTCTAGGATGGATAAATACAGTTCCTGTATGTTTGCCAAGGGGATATTATACCATTCTCCTGCAAACGGTGGCAGTTCAGATAACGGTTGGCCGTCGATAACAAGAACGCACTTTCCGTTCCAATGTAGACCACAAAGGTTCGATAATATTCAGGTCTGGTGACTGTGGTGGCCAGGGAAGGTAGGACAACTCACCCTCGTGCTCAGAAAACCAGTCCTGGACAATGTGAGCTGTGTGAACAGGGGCTTTGTCGTCTTGGAAGACACCATCACCATCGGGGAACAAAGTTTGTACCATGGGATGAACTTGATCCGCCAAAATGTTCACATAAGTCTTGGCAGTCATGTGCCCTGACACAGTTATCATGGGGCTAGCAGAGAACCACGATATGGCTGCCCAAACCATAACAGAACCCCCGCCATGTTTCACTCTTGGCAACAAGCATCTGTATTATAGGCTTGAGATGGCGTTCTCCAGACGAAACTCGGCAGAAGTGGGAAACAATGTGAAAGAAGACTCATCAGACCATATTACTCGCTTCCACTGCTCTATAGTCCGGCTTTATGACTTAAACACCACCTTTTCCTGTTACGGGCATTAGCATCACTGATGAGTGGCTTCTCAATTGCAGCACGGCCAGCAATTCCCTGTTTATAGCTCCCTTCTAATTGTTTTGGTACTCACATTGTTCGTACCCACATTCATTTCAGCAGTAACTTTTGCATTGTGGTCTTATTTTTCGTCACAATTGCCCTTAATAATCGTCTGTCACGATCACTCAGGACACACTTTCGTCCGCGCTGTGATTTAGCAGATGATGTTTTCTGCTTTTCAAATATGCGGATAAATCTTTCGATACAGTACCTCTTGAAACTAAACACCTCGGCTACCTTGCTTACGGAAGCACCTACCATACGTGCTCCAACAATTTGCCCACGTTCGAAGTCAGTTAACTCTGACATAATGCAATGACAACCTCACATAACAGTACTCTGACAACAACTGAACTGTTTAGCACATTTACGAAGTTGTATAGGTGGCGTCAGTAGTCAAAAACGCCAGCGCCACCTACATATTTCATTAAAATCAATCTTTCTTTTCAAACATGCATTTCACAAGGTGTTTCCATATTTTTGTCCATCCACTGTATGTATATATGAATAACATACATCCATACATAATTTCTGAATCTGTTCCTGATTGTTACGAATTTTGTATTTAGATAGGTAATTTTAGTAGAATTACAATTAGAATTGTATTTCCCCCAGAATGCAGTGCAAGACAAATTTTTAAGACAAAGCTATGCCGGAAAAGTAAGAATACAAAGGCCAGTGCATTTAACATTGAGTAAATGCGTATCTCGGTAATTCGTATAGAAATTGAATAAATCTAATTATTCAATTGTATAGAAATTGAATAAATGTAATTATTCAATTTCTATATGAATGGCAGCCGTAATTTAATTTCACACTCTTGTTGCTTTCCAATTTTGCTTGCTTAATTTCGAAAAATTTGCAATTGCTTAATTTCGAAAAACCAAAAGTAAGAAATATCTCAGAACTGGCCAAAAGCTATAAAAGGCTGGAGAGAGAGTGTCTGGAGTTCAGTTGCTAAGTTATTGTTGTTGTGAGTTCTTTAGTTCCACATGAACTGAGATATCTGAGTTAGCTTTCTTTTTAGATGCACTTTGAATTGTGTTGTATTTAACATTTTTAGTAGTTTGAAGTATAACTACTGATTATACTGCCAGATATTGCAAACACTTGTACGAATATTTTTGTGGAAAATTCAAGAGTTCTAAAATATTTCTCTGGTAAAAATTAAGATACTATTTCATTTTGAGGACCGTAAAAAAACTGCAGCAAGAATGTATGTGCAAAAGCACCAAATCTAGCAAATGCGCCCATTTAACAGCATGCCAAATCTAGCATACGTGCTGATTTAAAATTGCGCAAGTTTAGACAGTTCTATATTTCTTAAGACGCCATTGAAATACTACTTTAATTTTTAAATCCTTTTTTGATTTTAAATCCTTTTTTGATATCCTATGGATTTAACAATTTGGGGATTGTCCATGACGTAAATAAAGTCTGCAATAGAATTTTTTCAAAGAAAAGGCGTCATTCATTATAGAAAATTATATTTAAACAACCAACGAGATGAAATTATGCTCTAGCGATAATTAGGTAGCGAAATAGCGAGGCAAGAATCCATTCAGTTATGCTTAGCCTTTTCTTATATAAATTATAATAATGATCTGAAATAGTTATTTACTCTTATGTTTCCATTCAGTTACGGTTAGCCTTTTTTAAATAAATTATAATAATAAAAAAGTATTACATGAAATTAACCTTTTATCTAAATTAAAATAATAATCTTAGATAGTTATTTACTATTATACTTCCTTTCTTGCATTAGGATTACCGCAATTATTTTTGGCAGCACTGGCATCAACAATAGTTTGCCAATTTTTTACAGTCCTCAAAACGGAATAGTACCAAAATAAATTTTTACTAACCTATTTTCAAACTTGTGCATTTAATTTATTACAAACCTGTACACAAGCAATCATATGTATGTGGATGCATACATGAATACATACATCCATATATACAGGCATACATTTCTGAATCTCTTCCCGACAACAGCAGAGTATCGCTTATTTATACTAGCTATAATCAAGCAAAGATTTTTGTCTTTCTTTTACTTAATATGAAATTAAGATTTTTCTTTTAATTATTATGATGACATCATATAATTAAAAATTGCACTTTTCTTTAATTCATTGTAAATAAATTTACCTCACACAAACAAAATTCAGTGATGTACTTTCAGTACAAATTTATAGCATTCTACTTTAACTAAGCTTAAAAATTCGATTAACATTTTACAGCATTATGAGAACATTATTTAACACACAATACTCTGTTCATTATGAAGAGACTGAAAATAAATATTTAATTAACAAATATTCATTAACAATTGTTTACATAGAATATAACATTTTATTTGTTGCTAACATTAACTGACAGCTAATATAATGCAACTTTCTGAACATTTTAAGATGCATATACAAAGAGAATCAGAAATATTACCTTGTGGATCAGCTTTTTTGTAACAATTTCCTGCATCTACATATGCTGATGCTGCATCATGGCGACTACCTGTTTTAATGTGGAGCTCTGCTGCTTCACAGTAAGCATTGGCAGCAGCTGCAAGATTATACACAATATTATCATAATTTCAAATTCAATTCATTAAAAAACGTAAATCTAATTTCATAAAAATTTTTGCAATAGAAAAGCAAACTGAATCAAAAGATGACAAGTTACAGAACAAACATATAATATTTAATATCCTTTCATTTGCAAAAAGATCCTATTTTAAGAATTGCAAAAAGCATTCTACGCTCATGCAAATTTGCATAATGCAAAAGCCAGATATTTAAAATTTAGCATTCTGCTTATTATTTACTCTTCTACTCAAAAGGAGTGCTCATGCATAATCTGCAAGATAAATGCTCCAACTTCTCTTGATTTATAATAACAACAACTTTATGGTTAATTATATAAAGGCATTATAAATTATAACGGTCAAAAATCAAAACACAAGGTCAAAAATCAGACATCCAATTATAATACAAACTATCAACTTCCCAATTTTAGCATTTAGAAAGAATCTTTATTCATAAAATAAACTTTTTATTTTATTATTATAAAATTTGTAGGTTAGTCTTTAGTTTAGGGTACCCCTTGGAATATGACCAAGTTCTTGCTTTATTTATGGTAACCTGAGTATTTTATGTTGAATGTTATGGAAACCCTATTATGACATAATTGGTTTAATGCAAGACTGTGGTGATTTTGACCGTTGAGAAAATATTTATAAGAGCTTATTTATATGTTGGATGTTGGTTCGGAAGTATGTTGCGTATCTTGTGCTTTACACCATAAAATACCAGCTGGTGATACAATTAACCTGGAATTTCTACACGGCTTGGAATGAATGGGAAAGAAAACATTGATTGATTGTGTGTAAATGAAGATTTAAATTGCTTCTTTCACTTCTCAGTACGTTACGCAGCGAGATTTAAAGATATGAAAAACTGGAGCTCATATCAACACTATGGAATGTATGTGGGGTGTAATAAAAAGGGGGTAGAGTACACTTTAAGGTACACTATGTATTATGGCGAGGTTGTTGTTTGATTTATCACCAAGTTGTTTCATTTATGGTAGCCTGAGTAAATGAATGTTATGGAAACCCTATTGTGACATAATCGGGTGCATGATTGGGAAATTTTGAATCATGGGATGCTTTGTAAGCGTTTTTGTGGTGTTTTAAAACCGTTTAGATGGATTTGAATAAGTTTGTAGGAAGAAAGGTTCAGATGGACACTATGTGAAGCGTTCAATCAGAAAGAGTACCTGATTTGAAAAAAGTCATTTGAGTATGATTGATATTTTGATTTTTATGTGGCTCTAGGTGTACGAAGCGAACTCGAAAATCATGGTAAGTGAATATTTGCTTTTGGTAGTGCTTAAACGTACAACATGTTTTTCCTTTTTTATGTTATTTTATTGTTTGGTTTAAAATGTATTTTATTGAGATTATGTATTTTTTGTTTGCCTATATTGTAGAATTTGGTGCTCCTTTGACTTTTTAAGTGAAAATATATCGATGTGTACGTGGACAAAGTAAAGGGAGTGGGCAATGCAAATTTGTGCAATTCTGGGATTTGTTTTAAGTGAAAATAGGTCAACGTGTACATGGATAAAGTTAAAGAGTGCACAATGCCATTTTTGTGCAATTCGGGGATTTTTTTTAAAGTGAAAATAGGTCAACGTGTACATGGATAAAGTCAAAGGAGTTCGCAATGCCATTTTTGTGCAATTCGGGTTTTCTTTAAAAGTGAAAATAAGTCGATGTGTACATGGATACCGAGTTTGTGCAATTGTTTGTCTTGTTGTTTTGACTTTGTGTAGTGGCAATTTTTGGTTCAAAAATCGCCGCTTCGCAAGCCAAAATAAAGAGTCAAAATCGCCGCTTCGCAAGCCAAAATAAAGAGTCAAAGAATTGCACAAAATCGGTATCCATGTACTGCCAAAAATCGCCAAGAGGTACCCTAAACTATACTTTACCAAAAAGGGATTTTCAAAAGAAATGCTACTGGCAGCACAGAGGACATTTTTAATTTTACTTTTGTGAATTAGTGTGGTGATGGCAGTATACAGATTCTAGTTTAGATAATTTTAAAACTAGTATTTGGATGCTTTTAAGGAATTCTGTGTGTCACATTTTGTACTGCGTATATTAGATAACATGCATTTTCATTCTTATGTTATTTCCTTGTTTGAGTTTAAATGCAGTTTATTGAGATTATATATATATATTTTTTTTTAATTATGTTTTATTGCATTATGTTTTGGATGCCATTTTACTGGGGAGAGAATTGAACGTAAACAGGAATGGCGCCAAAAAAATCACCAATTTATGCCAAGGACTACTCTGAAATATAATAGTTCCCATTTTCCTAACGTGTAAATTCGTATACAAGCCACTTTCTCTTTAAAAGTTCCTTCTTGAAGGCATTCCTCTCTTTAGGCAGATAACCCTAGAATGCTCTGCCATACTATAAATTAAACCAACCAAATTGCTAGATATTAAAATTTTTGGTAATATTTTCTTCCCTTGATTGACCTTTAAAAAATACTATTGATAAAATTATGGTACTTCCATTATCCATATATGTAATAGGTTTTTAAAGGATAGCTATAGCAATGATTGACTTGCATCTAAAGATGTTAAACCTATAATAAATACATCCAGACAACTTGGAATCAACATAATTAAAAGCTCAAACAGATGGTCAAACAGTCATTCACACATTTATAAGCTCAAACACTGGTTTTAGAATTCTCTAATTTCATATATATAAACTATGAATGATGAAATAAACTGGTTAAGTGGATGCAATGACCACTGTTTAATTTCCCCCCCCCCAATGTCGGGTTCTGATCTTTTTACGACACTGGCCACTCCTAAGGCCCACCTAATAGGTGGCCACCATTATTTCCCATGAAAAGATGGACAGTTAAAAAAAAGCTCCCTCTGGAATTTGAACCGGGCCTCGTCGGTATCGCAGTCATATCCCCAAACCCCTATACCATCTGGGTGGCACTGTTTAAAAAGTAAAATGTCAAATATTTTAAACTGTTTGAAAAACTCATCAAACATGAAACTTTGGCTACATAAGGCGCTGAGATTGAGGATATTTCAAACAAATAATAAATCATAAAGTTATGAATTATATATTACTATTTATACCTTCATGAAATGCACACACAAAAAAATGTTTAAAAATACATGTCATGTGAGAATATTAGAAAAAAAGAAAGTGATTATTTCTTCATATACATTAAAAGATATATGAACCATAGATCATCACCTAAGTTTCACTTTTTCTTTAGATGAAGTTTCACAGAGACAAGTATAATTTGAAAAATAGAGTTTAAATTAACATAAGGCACAAGAAGTATACTTTTGGAATTAATCGGTATAATCTTAGAAGCAAAATGTACTTTCCATTAACAAGATTTACTATAATTTAACACAGAAACTTCTGCTTTTAAGGAATAAAACACCAATAAATTCAGTTTTTTGGATATGCACTAATTTTAAACTATGGTTTTACAAAAACTCTTTGTTCTATTATTATAATAATGTGTATATATAATATATTTAAAAATATTGACAAGAACTTAGTAGTATGTGTCTTTTTTATTCAATCTAAAAAGAATAATTATTAAAAATCCATGGTTATTTTATTCTACAGTACTATAATTAATCTCACAATAAAATGTGACCAACAATTCATAGCAGTCAACAAAATGTCACTAAAGTAGGTACAATTCCAACTATACCTTTCATCATTTTAGAAGAATGATTTGCTTAATGTTAACATCACACACAGTACTGTACTACAAAAATACTGTAATTAGTTTTCTTAAAATATAAAAGCTTTTTATATTTTTTCAACCATAATTATTGTTATTTTTCATGATTATGATGTAAAACATATACATTTTCTTTCAATTTAATGAAATATAGCAACAAAGCAAAAAAAATAATGTTACTAAAACAACTAATCAATTTTATACTTACAATGAAAAACATAACAGGAAATTAACAAATTCTGATAATTTGTAAAAAAAGAAAAAAAAAAAGAAAACATTTTTAAAATAAGAATAAAAATTTAAAGCTCGATATGATAATATATATGGCATTTATCCTAAACTTGACAAAATTTAAATGACAACGCATCTAAGAAAATGAAGAAACTGCAGAAATGAGTACTATGATAAATGAATCAATATTTCTCATGCGAATGTAAGACACCGCTCCTTAATAGACCTTACAGTAAATATAGCACATAATGTAATTAAATATAAGAATTTCATACCAGTCCATTTTTTGGCCATTTTAAAAGCATTTGCAGCTCTATGATACATTTCACATGCATCTTCTATTTTTGTCGAATTCCTATTAAAAGATGGAAAATTTTTTTTAATAGAGAACATAGAAACAAAAACTGATTTTTCGCAGAATATAATTTCAATGATATTTGCAACCTCTTATAAAAATTCATAAATTAATATCTAATTGTATTTCAAATCACACTGCTGAATAACAAAAATGAGAGGATTTGCCTTTCAATTCTTGAGCAAATCATGAATTTTCAATGTGTGTTCATAAAATCCAACAGTTCAATATTGTCTTAAATTATTCATAGCCATCAAAAAATAACCAGCCTACGGACATATAAACGTACCCAAACAATGTACTGAAGAAACCTTGGGCAGATCTTACTTTTTTTTCAGCTTCAGCTACAAGTTCAATACCTTTTTGCTCGTTATCAGCCATAATTAAGACTTGATTCAATTTAAAGCTAACATAAAATTTTACGGAAAATATAAAAAGCAATATTGGATTACATGGAAGAAAGCAACACACACAAAATCATACGGTACATAGATTCGTCATCACGTTCTGATGTTTTGGCCCAGTTGTTTGCTAACAGATAGGAAGTCGCCTTACAAATACGCAATGTGATTGGCTAAAAGCCGGAAAAACATCTTTTTGAGATTACTTGGAAATATTAAAATTGTTTTGTTTATTCAAATATACCTTTAAATATTTAATGTTCGTTTATTCTTATAAAAGCTTTCAAGAAATAAACTTTCTTGTAAGTTTATATTTTAAGCCCGTTGGGATTAAGTTTATTAACTAAGGTATTTTATGATTTTTCTTACGATTTCAAGTATCCTTAGACGGTAGAGACGGTAGAGTTTTCCTTGTTTCAAAAGGTAAAATTTTTATATGAATTTACATTGATTTTTCCCCTTGCTTTGGCGAGGAGCCAGAAATTTTGGGTGAACTATAATAATTAAAATACGTTGGAATGTTTAATCAGCTAATTCTGGATACAGAAAAGCACATATTTTTTATGGATGAGAGATTTTAATTGATTTCAATGTTCCTCCTCCTGACAAAGTGGAATTGAATTTGATTGAATTGCTCTTCTTTTATATTGTTTATATTCTTTAAAGTTCATTAATTTTTTTAATTATGGTTTTACTTCTTTGAAGCATTTTAAAAAATTTATTAAATTTTCTTGGATAGCTTTATAGGATATTTTTAAATTTATTACATATGAATTTAAATTTCTGGTCTTTGTGTAAAATTGGTTCTAAATTTCTTACTTTATGTTTTTACTGACAGTTTTTCAGCGCGAAAATACAAGGCATGTTTTTTTGTTATTTTAAAAATTGTTTTGTAATTATATAAAGTGGTTATTTTATGTTAATCTTTTACCCGTAATAAACTTTTAACCCTTTAAATGAATAAACTTAAATGACACGATGACTTAAGAAAAAGAAAACAACTCGTTTCGTTTCCTAGTCTAGACACCGTCGAGATAGAAGAACGGTCGCTTTTTGCGATCTACTCGACAGAGAGCGAGTCTGGTGTCATCGTCTCGATCATTACAGAGATCGACGCGTCGGAAATTTTTCCGTCAGCTGGACAGCTGCCGTTTAAGTTTCTGATTGTCGTTTTAGAGCTAAGTCGCTTTTTGCGATCTACTCGACAGAGAGCGAGTCTGGTGTCATCGTCTCGATCATTACAGAGATCGACGCGTCGGAAATTTTTCCGTCAGCTGGACAGCTGCCGTTTAAGTTTCTGATTGTCGTTTTAGAGCTAAACTGAGGACGGCGGAGGTCACGGATTGTTTTTGAAAGTGTACGTAATAGATATTTTAATTTCTTAAGATATGTGAAAAACTCGAGTAATAACGCATTTGATGCTGACGATTCTACATTATTTATTTATTCTACATTACCAATGCCTTAACTAAATTTTAGTGAAAATAATATATTTTGGTGTTTTCCTATTTCACATATAAAGAAGGAGTGCATATTTTTAATTTAAAATTGTAATTTTTTAACTAATGTATATCAATGTACTTAATTTCATGTTTTTGATAAGTAATTATAAATTTTGAAATTTTATGTTTTAAATTATAATGTATCTCCCTCTACTTTTATTTGAATTTGTAGTGTATAAAAATGTAATGCATTAGACCTGCATTAAAGAATATGCAGTATATAATTCAAACTATGCACATCCTAAATTCAACATTTACATTAAATTGATTTGAGTTAAAAAATTTATGTAAGTAGTTTTAACTGTACCGATATCAATGTCAATTTCCAATAGTTTCTAAAATCTTCTGTATAAAACAAGTTAAATTCTTGTATAATTTTCAGTTAAATTCTTGTCAATATTATAATGCAAGATTTATAATTAGTTATCAGATTTTTAAATGTGGTCTACCTTTAGATATTACATCAGTCTTGTGTATATTTATTCAGATCAAAAAAGTGCTTAGTTTTGGTTTTATGTAATTACGGCAAAGCCTCGAGGGCTATCTGCCTAAAGTGAGGGTTGCCTTTGTGGAGGACATTCTAAGGAAAACTAGCTCGTATACACGTAACACATGGGAAAAACCACGAAAACGTCCATGCAACCAGCCCGTTCGCGGGATTCTAACCTTGGACCGAACTTCTAGTGTTCAGCGATTTTACCGGCCGCTGGTGGGATCGATTTAAAAAGGATATAAATATATATGTACTGCAATTTCTTTCACTACATCTGTTAATATATTTATACAGTTTATATATATATATGTCCGGAATAAATAGATTGGTGAAGAATCATAAATGTAGTCGTAGTTTAAATTATCAGACGATAAGTTTAAAAAACAGGATCCATTTATTATTATTCAGGAGAAATAGCAGTTACAAAATCAGATATCCGAAGTAAATAAAAAGAATTACTAATAACTTTTTGTATGAAGTTTACTGCATCGTTACATTAAAGAAAAGCCCCCGATATTCTTTTGCGAGTCCTTTTATAGCCTCTGGAAAGGCGGAGCTTCCAAGAAATGACGTCAGCCAATCCAGTTCGCTTTAAATATTTCCAGAACATTCTATAACTGTACGTGTAGAAAAGGCAGGAAAAACAACTTGACTACGGGGCTGTAGATTTAATTCCACGTACTTTCAAATAAGAGACCATCGCCATTAAAAATGAAAAAGAACATACAGTTAGAAATTCAAGTGTAATTTTGACTATGGAATTTTATTATTACATATATATATATATTTAAAACAGGTTTTCTGTGCCTTAAACTTCTATGCTTCTGGAAGTTACCAATGATATATCTCTCATTACCAATGATATACTGGTAATGACAGATACATTGGTAATGACGCCCATGCGTCCAGCCCGTTCGCGGGATTCGAACCTCGGACCGCACTACCAGTGTTCGGAGATTTTACCGCTCGGCCATTAGTGGGATCGACTTAAACAGGAATATGGACTGCAATTTCCTTTCACTGCATATATTAATATATTTATAATACATTTATGTCTACATATAGTTATTTATTTAAAACAGGTTTTGTATGCCTTAATTTTTTATGCTTTTTCGGATCGAACTACCAGTGTTCAGCGATTTTACCACACGGTCACTGGTGGGATCGATTTAAAAAGGGTATAAATAGGAATATGTATTGCAATTTCCTTTCACTGCATATGTTAATATATATATGTGTGTGTGTGTGTGTGCAAGATAATATGTTTTATGATTTAACCTATAGTTATTTAATTTTTTTTTTTATTTTTCTTCCTATTACTTTTGTTAAATGCTTGTTATATTTTTACTCACTGCTTATTGGTATCTACGATACATAGTATATTTGTAGCTACGTGATAGGTATAATTCCTGAATAAATAAAATTATTGATATAATCATGGGTTGCTAAAAATTAAAATTTTTTTGATTCAAATTTATTAGGAATATTAAACACGCGTAAGTGTGCTATATTTCAATGATTTTACTTATGACGTTGTTGCATAACCTTTTCAGACAAAATAATGTATTTTAATTATAAAATTCCTGTTAACAAATAGTTTACAAACATGTAACCTTTTAGAAAATTTCCATTTTGCAAAAGATCATACGTAAAATTATGTTTACGTTTCTTCAGATACCTGAAGTTTTGAAGAGGCCATTTCTTTCTGCGTTTATAACAAGGCCAACTTGATATCTAGTTGGCCTTGATTTATAATATCCATTAACATTCCCCATTTCTTTTTTCCAAACTCTTTACTAAATCCAGCAGCATATTTTTTCGAAAAATTTCGCAATTTACTCGAACTCGATTTTTTTATCTACCGCTATCCTCAGCAATAAGCACTTGCGAAACAGCCCCTTTGACAACAAACTACCCCCTTCCCCTGAGCCTGGAGCAGAGAGTGAGAAACTGGTGCTATAATAAACGCTCACGGATTTCCCTCCTTACCCTAGAGCTACTAGAGATACAGGCTGACTCGTCAGCCATTTTGAATCTAAGCTTTAGGGTTGCAATTTAGGTGTGGAGCGGCAACTTTGGCTCTTTAGCGCTGTCCGCTAAAATTTAACATTCTAGAGAATCCGAATTTCAGCTTTTTTCTGCACTCCTATAAAGATGTGTGGCTGTGGCTTTTTCCCCTTCTTTTGTCTGAAGTGCAGATTCTTTCTCGTATTTTTTTTTTTTTTTAAATTGCCAAATTTCTCGTATGATTCAAGTTATTTTAAAAGTTTCTAAAACATTTTCACATATCATATTTCAAATTTGTATTTTTAGTTAAAAATACTTTCTTTTTGAATTCCTTTATTGAATTTTCAATTTTTTCTTTTAAATACACGCATAATGTTATTCATCTCAAAATGTATTTTTTGACAAGAGCTTTCCCTCAACCACATTCTTAATATGGTTGAGGGAAATCCCTCAACCTCCATTAATTTAGGATAAGGTTTAATCTTTAATTCTTGTTTTTTATTTTTAATATGTTATTTGAATTTTGCTCACATGGAATCAAACGTCTATTACTGTAGCAAATTTGTTAAAAATGTTATTTTGTGTGTGTTTTCCAGAAAAAGCTGCTAAACACTTTATGATTTTAAATACTGATTCAGGATATACACCTTTAAATTATAATGCTTTTAGAATGAAGTGCAGAATGCTATAAAAATTACTTCAATGCTCAGATGACTGTGGGATTCATAGATTTAATAGAGTAAAAAATTCCATTAAATATATATTTTTTTTTTTTATTTAGCTATAAAACAATATTAAAATAATACACACACAAATAAATAAAAATAAAAATAATACCTTTACATACAGAATTTACAGATACTATTTACTTATAAGTTTATTTGTTGTTGATGGTTACTTTTTATTATACTTGGAAAAATTATACTTACATACATATGCTCTTAATATTACACGTATCTGAATATTTAAATGATAATTCCATAACATAATAAGATTCAATCTATATCACAGCAAAGACAATACTTAAATCACAGTTCTTTTTATTAATTAATTTGCATAAGTAAAAACATAAAAATATTATTTAGCTTCAAATCTATAAAATAAGTCCTCTAGTAACAAACATATGACAA